ATAAATACGATTCGTCTGTTAGTTACTTTACTGTTGAAAATTATTATGAAATAAACTCAAGCAACTAATGTAAATTTATTGAATGCCAAATAAATCAATAAAGACATTTAACAAATAATAGTAGAAGTTTTGAATGACATGGCAACATAATAATATGTATTATATTCATAGTATTGAATATTTTAAGTATATACATATAGTAGTATAGTACTCTAAAGTTACTTGATTTTTGTGGTTATTTCAATTTCTAATAAAGAGTTTATAAATGTTTATTTTGTGAACGATTTAAATTTACTTTGACTACATTAATTTATAATTTATTTGTCACACATTTCATTAGGAGTGATATTAAGTAATTTGTTAAAGTTATTTGTTGTATAACTACATTCTAACTTGTAGGTTTTGCTACTATTATCAATACTATATTTTACCTTATTTACTTATTATCAGAGGCTTAAGTACTTCAGTACACGAGTTTTGAGCTTTGACTAATTTTTTTATTGATGTTTTTATTATCACTATTTTTTTTGTAGTTGTCTATATTAACACATGCAATAAGACGGTCATGTTTGTTTCTACTGATATTACGTATACAATCGTAAAATGTTCAGCTCAACGTGCAGATCGTAATTATGACTTCTATATTTAAAAAATGGTTGCGAATTGTAGAAAACACGTGGTAAATAGTTCATGGAAACGCTTAAAAATTAATTTTATTTCGTAGAAATTCGAACCTCTAGATCTAAAATTAACAATTAAGATATTTTTTTCATCACATTTGAGATTTTGTTAGAGTTATGAAATAATAATATACAAGTTTTACTGTATCCTTAAGGAATGATTTCACGATTTACCACGTATTTTAATTTTGCAACGTAACACACTAATCGAATAAATAAAATCATAATATACAGTTTCATTGCAATTCGTTTCGATGATATTGATTTTATTGTCATATTAGGTTTAGATATCGAGATATATTCCTTTTAAATTTACTATGATAATATTTTGCATAATTTTTTTTTGTTGTTGTTTATTTATATATTTTAATTAAATGTTAGTGAATATTGAATGTAAAATATTTTTTTTAAATTGTTAGTAGGTAACACAGTATTAAATATACTTACATACAATAATTGCAGTGTTCTTGGCTTAGGTATAAACCCATTAAATCTACTTAACGTTGTAATAAATAAAAAAAAAATACCACCTATTTAGATTAAAACGTTTTGTGTTCTTTAACAAAACTCCACTTGGCATAAACATTTCTGATTTTACTCAAAAATAGATTTGCAAATAAATATCACAAATATGTTTTAATCATATTAATTTTTTTAATGTTTTGAATTTAATTGTTAAACATCATAACATGCATTCGTTAAATTAAATTTAGATTATGATGATATAATAATAAGACCCTGCGACTTGATAATTTTTAAATTGTTCCTTTTCTCTTGACATATTAAATTGTAATTAAAAAAAAAAAAATAAATAAAACGTGTGTCAGACGATGTCAGCTATTACGCTTGTTTGCCTTACGTGAAAATAATTTGTTTCTACAACGTTTTTTATTATTATTTATTTTTTATGCGTTAACGGAAAAATAAAGATGCCAAAAGACCATCTTAATTCCTAATAACCATCAAAATTCTACTCGATAATAGTTTTTTTCATTTCGTAAACATTATAAAAACTGAAATTATCGACATGAATCGTTTATTAGCCTATAATCTTCTTTAAACGCTATATACATTTTAGTAAGTGGCTAGGCACTTAACTCGGCGTTTGGCAAGCATTCCATAATAATATAATAATGTATTATCATATGACACTATTCGAGTGTCTTACATCTACTTATCCTGTAATCGTGGTTTAATCGAAATGTTACAAACATTTAATACTTCGTGAACATATCTATAGATTGCAAGAACGCCATATAATCAAAAAAAAGAAAACTTTCAATAGATTACACCAAAGGCAGATTTTGAAAATTCGTATTTCTTATTCTATAATGCACTCAAGTTAAGGTTAGTGATATAATATATTATTATTTTTTTTATATATTTTCGGGTGATTTATTGAAGAAGTGAAACTGTCAAAAATCGTGTTCTTACACGTGTGCCCAAGATCCTTCATTTAAAATACTCTTGCTCGCATTCGAAATCTAAACGTTGTGAAGAACCGCCACGGTACTTATGTTGTATATTCACGTATATTGACAGTACTTTCTAATCGGAAGTTTATTTTTTAAATGTTTTACTAAAATATATTAAATATAAACTTTAAATATGTTTCTCATGCGCAAATTACAGAATGTTTTCCTAAGAAATATAAACAAACCACACAAACTCATGAATATCAAAAAAAAAAAAAAAAATTAATTTTTGCTTGACCTGTAGCCTATTAGATTAGTTTATAATTATGTAATTTTAAGCTGAAATAATATTTAAAACAATGTTTTATTATAATAGAGCATAATAAATTATAAAATCAAACTTATATGAACAATAATATTGCAGTTCAAAATAAATCTAACGTAGCTGTGTTAATTTAAGGTACTTGAGTGCTAAGCACCCCCTGGCACATTCGCATGTGCTCCAATAGTGCTGACCGAAATTCGTATTGTATAGAGAACGGTGACGGTGCTGGAATCGGACAAAACGTCACCACTACGGTCTTGATGTGTAAAAATAATAATTTGTCGGACCGTGGACGTTTGGACGATTGCCAGCGACAGTGGCGTTCTGCACGGGCCGTCGACAACGTCTCCTCGACTATAATAATAATAATAATAATAATAGTATAATCTCGTGACACCCACAATCCCACTGCAGCAGCGTATCCACCCACCTCGGTCACACCACGGCCCAGATCATTAACACCACTCGGTGGCCCTTCCTCTACAATTTCGGCGGATAAGACGTGTATCCATCTCGACACTCAACACAACGCGTTATATTATATATAATTATACAGGGTGATTTATCTAATATCCCTTCCCCATTTTTTTTTCAATAATACAGTTATTCAAAATCTAATTTTCAGAAATTTTAGATATATCTAAAGACTATACTTTCAAATTTTTGATTTTTTTTACTTAATATAATATGACATGTGTCCTGCGGAGGTATAAACTTTTGTTTTTAAAATTAAAACCTTTTTTTAATATACTTAAATTATTTAGTGGGTTATTTTTCTGAAAATGTTGACGTATAAAAATCAAATTTGGAACGAGTACCTAGTTTTTGAGTTATTTAATTTTGTGTTCGTACTAAGGATAATAAGTCCACGATAATGGGTTTAGAAGATATGGGGGTTGGGTGATTTTAAAATGTTGGTGATTAATAACAATCTATGTATTTGTGTATAATTTATGAAATCTCGACTAGTCCAAGTTTATATACTAGATCCAATGTTTTATCTATTTTATATTTTTTAAACTATTTTTAAGAACTATTATTCTTGGTAATAACTAAAAAAAAAAACTAATAGTTTGAACTTTTAATTATGTATACAAAATTGTTTAAAACAATTATGCTCTTAATAATTTACTACAAAATAACGGCGATCCTCATTTGAAAAAATAAATATTTTTTTCGCCACAGAACACTTTAAGTGAGTAGTACTAAACATCTCAAGAATTCGAAAATATGGTCTTTATATTGTGTATTCTAAAATTCCGAAAAATCACAATTTAAATAAATGCATTATTTAAGGAACACGTATGGGGTGCTCATGCTTGGCGATCATCCTGTATATATAATAATGTGCAATAATATAATATTATAAAAATATCACATGCACAACAATATAATTACGCCGACTCGGTGGCACTCCAAGCCAGCTACTCCGAGCCGTGTATAATATTTATATAAATAAATCGTGTACAGCTTTCCGCCGATTTCGCTTATGTTTTTTCTTCCCATTTATTTTTGCTTTACGCATTTGATTTCGGTTCTCTCTTTATTTCTCGGTTTTTTATTCCTCTCCGACGCGATCTGGTTTTCATTTGAACAGCGGCCCCTATACTCTATAGTGATCCCGTAACCGAGCACGCCGTCGTACGCTGCACTCGTCGGCCGCAGCACAGCGAAAACGAAATTATAAAAATAATAAAAATTATAATATTAATAAATCGCCGCTGACGCCGTCGCAGGCGTAACTCCATTCGGAAGAATCGCCGAGTTGCTGTCGCCGAGTCCGTCCGCCGCGCGTACACCATTCACTTGTATGACATTAAATAGTACACTGCCGAGACCGATTTTCCGCGCCTACCGATAACATAATATTATCATCGCCGAAAACCCACTGCACTAGGTGAATATTTTAATATAATGTTAAACTTATAGTTTTTTTGTGCATTAAACCACTACAAGACTCGGTGAAGTAACCTTGTTGAAAAATAACACTTCAATTAATATTGTTATAGTCCAATAGTATAGTTGGCCCACTAACACCACAAACATATGAGTTTGGTTTTGACTTTGAATTTTCCGATTTTGTAATTATTTTTTTTTTGTATTTTGATCGTACTATCGGTGCATAATATTAGGTATATCTGGAGACCGGAATTATATGCACTAAAAAATTGAAACATGTGATGTAAATATGCGTTCTAAAAATAGTCTATATTGTCAATAGGAATGAGGAAATAATTTCTTTATCTATTCAAATTGTATGCTTCAGTAACAAAATATCCTTTTATCCTTTAAATATACATAAATATTATGCAAAATATAATAAGGTTAATGAAATCAGTTTGATTTGAAACTCCCACACTTCAACACTCATATTCATGCATGTAATTACGGTCTCTAATTATTTATGTATAATATGTGATGGGCTTGTAATTATTTTCAATCGATAATGGTGTAATAATATTGTAACATTGAATAAATTGTCTCTTCGTCTCCTGGCATCGTTGTCCGGTAACGTCCGTACTTGTGGCTTATTTTGCTTAAAATTAATGAAATCAAATTTTTATTTCCGTTTACCGACAGGCCACCGAAGGAACGGTCGGAGTAAAACGGTTGCCCAGAGACTTTGCCGAGCAACTGCGCTTCGACGAGTACGCGCAACAGACGACCACCACCACCTCGACAACCACCTCAACCAACACCAACGACTATAGGCCCGTGTCTTTGGACAAGATACCGGTACCTTCGTGCGGTGGACATTTGACAGGTGAGAATTATTGAATTATTAATCGTAGTGTACGATAATGTGTATCTTATACACGTGCAAAGAGTCAAACAGCATTTAATTATTATATCTATTCAGTCGTTATGCAAATCGAGTCCTACAATAATGCGCTAGTTTTCATCGTGGAGCACTGCTAATAAAATAAATGAGACGAATGGCATTCTCGCGGTTTTCGGAGTGCACGCAGAGGCGAATATAATATATGGATATGTATAATGATTTATTAACGTATACGCCGCACATAAATAGTTTTAACTCTGTCTTTTTTTTTATTTCCGAATCCCGTGCATCATTAATCTCGTTATGCGCTTTCTCTCTTCTGAAAAAAATAAACATTAAAGATATTTTATAACATCGTTGCTATAATGTATATCACTGTATCCCTGTAACAATATTATAATTAATAGGTACATTGCACAGGATCGAACGAGTTTCTGTGATTTTTTTTTTTCTTTCAAAGATCACGAAAATTATTTGTGCGACGAAATTACATTTTAATATATTTTATTCATCTCGACTGTATTATGATAGCGCGTGTTGGCACTTAAAATCGTGTATCTTTTTGAATAGGAAATTAGGATCAGCCTCGTACAGCTGCAAACCTCGTATTCGTCAGGATTTTTTATATTATTATTAGTCGCGAAGAAAAACTCGCACGCGTGATACATTTAGCAGCTCTTGTTTACACGCAGAGCAGTGACTTTGACCGCATCATCTCTGGCGTGACAATATCTCAAATTTATATTTTGTAATGTTTTATCATAATATGCAATAAATAAATAATACGTACGTTGTTACGTGTACGATATATTATTATAATTATTGGGAGACGATAGATCGGACGTGTTTTCATTACGAAAACTTGTTTCACAGGAACAATAAAATTATACATTAGTTATCATGTCTCGTGAAGTAGTAGAATTTTCATAATTTTAAATTTTGAGTGAAACATTCAATGTATTTTGCAATGATAGATGTATGTTTTTTTTTTATTTATACACTATACACGATAATTATTCAAAAAATACTTAGATTTTCAACTTTGAGCGTGATTTTTAGTAGGAAATTATAATTACCTAGTTTGTATTTTGAACAGGTAAACATTAAAAATTTCTTGTATTTTTTTAAATATCCTGAAAAAAACTAACAAATGTTTTAGAAAAACGGAAATTTTTAAGTTTTACGCAAAATCAGTTTTTGAACAGAAATCGATTTTGTTATTTTTGGTGTAATTTAAAAGATAATAACTGTAGATACTTGATATTTTTTGCATTAAGTATAATTTACCAAATATTTTAATTCTTTTTGAACTACTTATAGACTTTTGAAACTTTCAATGTCTACGTATAGTTTTTTATAAATGTCGATAAAAATTTGTTGCTGGTAAAAAAAATGCTTGACAATTTAATAAAATATCACAAATAATTATTCTTATATCTGCAAAAAAAAAAAAATGTTAAAAATACACAGCCTTTTTTTATATACATTTTAAATTTAAATGTTGACAACATTTCTGAACATCATAATAATTTAAAAAGTATGAGTAGTTTGTAGTGAAAAAATGTTTGTTTTTTCAATTTTTACAGCTACGATTTGAATATGTAATACAATGTTCCTCTCAAGTAATTTATACTGGAACCAAATAATCTAAAAATATAATTATACTTTAAATTAATTTTAATATGAAATGTATACGAAATTACATATTTAAACATTTTAAACTATAGTCTATAAATAATGATAATCATTAATTTGTTATAATTCAAAAAACATTATTCGTGGAGATATAGAATTGTTATGTATATTCTTACACTTATTAACATTTTAAAATGGAATGTTTTTGTCAAAAATTAATTCAACCTTTTATATTACTAGTAGTAAAATGAATTACTTTACATAATATAAATATAAAAAACATAACCTTGAAATATATCGCGTAGGCTTTATCTTTACACAGATTAGTTTTTTGTTTACAATGATATATTTAACACATCCACCACAGTGATTCACTCACACATATTGTGTAGTAGAGTAGTACCCAGATGTCCTACTTTTTTATTTGAAAGGGTCAGGTCGGGCTCTCACTTTAAAATTCTCTATTTTCAGAAGTTGTAATGAAGTGATTATGTTACAAACTATTGAATATTTTGATATATATATATTTCTGGTGTTATTTAAAATTAATTCAAAAATAAAAGTTCTGTTATGATACCTGAATAAAATTGTCCACTTCCAGATTAAAGTAATCAAAATTATATGAGGCGTGATAGTACTTCTTGTAACGTAGTTTTTAAATTTAATTTTCTGCATAGATTATTGTTTGACCGCATAACCTTAGAAAAAACCCTAGCTAAAGGATTTAAAGTTAACAATACGAGTATATTGAAAATGATATTTTTTTTTTAATTTATTGTATAACAAAATAATTACAGCAGTTTAAAAAATTAAAAAAGTGATTTTTTATACTGTAAAATTAATATTATATTTTGAAAGAATTTTATATCTACCGTGTTTTTTGCGAAAACAAACATATTTTGTCTATATCGTACCAATAAATCTAGTTATGATATAATAAATCAGGATACATAGTTAAATATCTTAAACAGTTTATTTTAGATTAATTATTCTAATTTTTAAAATGATACTTCCATTAATTTTTATATATACCTCGATGATATATTATACATATATTATGTATATCATTGTCAATATTGTACTATTATATATTTTATTGTATTTTAGTTGGATCTTACAATCCGTTAGAATTTTAAATAAATATCATATAATAATATTATGTTAATGCATTTTATATTTAATTTTTAATAATGCGTTACATTCAAAAATGATAATGAAATACTATTTACAAGCAAGTTATTTTTAATGAATTGGATTTAATATGTTTAATTTTAAATTTCAATGAAAACGACTTTGTCAAATCCCTTCGAAATGCTGCGCTGATGAGATGTAGTCATAAATATATATTTCTCTATATAGGTGTATATATTTTTTAATATAAATAAACTTCATGTTTTTCCTGTAAACGTACTCTTCCATGACTGAAAAATATATGAAGTAGATTCTAAAGTTAAATTTTTTTTTAAATATACAAAAGTACCAATCCTTCCAATAATTAAAACTTAAGTCTAGTCAAAAATTGTTTGAAAAAAAAAATGCTTCATAAAATAATTTTACTAATTTATTATATTTTGTAAGAATAACTTATTTAGAACAATTGGTTTCAAATTAATTATGTGTAACGACAAACTACATTGCATCCTAATTTGACCAAGTAATATTGATGCGGAACGAATTTTTGCCCAACATCCTGTATTTGTTTCCTGTCTTGTTTTCATTTCACTTTAGGCAAATTTCTATGTAATTCGTAAAATAATGAGGTATTTGTTAAAATTGTAAAATATACTTACAATTTGAATGTTGACTTTCAATAAAAGTCTTTCAGCCATCTAAACTCAATAAGTCATTTTATTTAATCTATTATACTTGATGATGTGTCAACATTAATGCGTGATAAATAAGTCGTTTACAAATAAAATTATTAGGAATGGTATATATCGTATAAAAATTATAAGTTATTTGAAAAATTGTCGTTTTTCCATTAAAAAATGTAATTTATAAAGTTAATATTTAGGTAACTAAATTATAAATTTTTAGCCGTTGCTAATCGTTATAATTGATCTAAAGAGTTTTTACTCTGCATCGTTGAAATTGACAAAACATTTGATTTCACACGAAAATCTACTAATTGTTTGAAACCAACCTAGTCGTATAATTATTATTATGTGCGTAACTATATCATTACGTAGATTGTCAAAATTAATAAACACACAAAAATTTGATTACATTCCAAGTTATGTACACGAAAGAACAATTCACAAATAGTCAAGTTTCGAGGTTGTTCTATTTAAAAAAAAAAAAATTTTCCCTAAAATGTTTGAGATACATCTAAATGAAATAAGATACATGTTATAAGTATTACTTAGTTGATGTTTTTTCGTAGATTTTATTAAACTCACCACATACAGATAATATGTTCCCCATTGTAAATAAAATTATATCAATCAACTTTAATGCTGTAGATAGGCATTTGTCATTATACGATGAACCAGATTCAAATTTTACGAAAAAAGATTATCACAGTGACCATCTATCACAGTCACCTATCACAGTTTTCTTAAGTTTTCATATTGATACGATTTAACGTAATAAATATTATCCAAATAAGTTATAGAAATTATTAAAAGAAATTTGAATTAAATTCTTTTGAACTTTTGATTGAAAGAAAGTAAACTATTCAAATTATTAATTATTAGGATATATTTTTATTTTGATCTATTTATATATAATTTTTGTTTGTCTATTTTAGTAAATGAAATAAATAATAAATAATACAAAACTAATTTTTAAATTTTATCACCTTAAAATATTTCTAATAGCTTACTACTTTTTAATTTTAAACAACAACGTGTCCTGATATTAACCTTAAGTAGGTGATTTGTATCATTTTTATTATTATTATATTATCTGATTAAATATAATGTTTCGTGTTAATTTTAGTTAAAACAAACAAGCAAAGTGAATCATGATTATTGAAATATTTCATTTTTATGAACTGATGCTAACTTATGCATATTTATACTATAAATATTATTTGTTTATTTATTAGACTTATTTTTCCACATATTTATTTAAAAAAAAAAACTTAAAAATTTTTTTTTAAGTTTATTTGATTTGATTTTATAAAAAAATATTGTGTAATTAGGTTTATGGAAAAAAAAAAAACGATTACCAAAACGTGAAATTAATTTAATATTATTATAATTATTTTATTAGTTTGTAGGTAAGTACTTTTTACTAACACTTAGATTTACATTTTTTTACCCGAAATTATTTTGTACACATCATATTATTATTTTAATAGAATACTCGTGTTATAAACTACGTTTCAGTGTTTACCTTTGAAT